CTCCCTTATAGTTCTAAAAAAAATTCAAATACCTTCTTTCTATTAGATTTTCAATAATAAGGCATTGAAGTTACCAAAATACCCTTATTATTGTTAAGGTGTTATCATACACAATTTAAAGTTTCTTTACCCTCCACTAATTTATTTTGCTTGACAAATTTCAAAGTGTAAATATCTTTACTCTTCTTAGATGAAGTAAGGTTAAAAGGCTGAAGTGAAGGAAATCTTTTTTTTCCAAGGTATTTTGGTAAGTGTACATCTGAATGAAGTTTGTTAAGGATAAAATTGGTATTTTAAAAAATTAATGCGTTACATCATCATTTTCTATTTCAAATGTCAACAAAGAAAGGTATTTGCACCTTTTTCCAAAACAATAGGGGAGGATTTTGTTAAGGTCAAAACACAAGGGAGATTCATAGGATTGTTAGAAAACCCAAGGAGGGTTTTATAATTTTCCCTATCTTTAAATTGAATTTAAATTTATTTTAATCTAATTAAATTATATTTAAAATTAACACAAAATTATTATTTTTTGTTTTATTAAACCTTATTAAATTTAATTAATTATATTATGTTTTTAATTTTAGTGGAATTTAAGTTGGTTTTAAATTAGTAAAAATTAATTATAGAACTACTATTTTTTAGATAATTTTGTATTAGTTTTATATTAATTTTAAATGGATGTTGGTTTTAAATTTATCTTAGTGCTTTATTTAAGTAATAACAATTAATAATTATTTTTGCTTTATTTAAGTAACTTACTAAATTATTTTTGTTATGGTTAATTAATTCTACTTACTTTTAAATGGGACATAAATGGATTATAATTGTTATGATATTTTATTCAATGTTTTCAACATGTCATTGACTTGAACAATTGAATTGTTTAAATAGACGCTCAACCTTATTCCTAATTCTAGGTTTCCTAAAACCGTCTGTTTCGTCAAAATTTGTTCGGCCTGAGCATTTGAACCATTGACCCTTTGACCTAATCACTGGATTACATGTTACAATATGCAATGTATTGAAAACTTCTGCAAGACTTAACTTTGTGTTTGGCTGTTCGATTAGGGTGATATTTGTTTGTTTGTTTGTTTTTTTTTTTTTTTGGTAACTTGTTGGCTGTTGTGACTTTACAACCCACTGTACAGAAAAACAGTGGATTAATGGAGTGGAGATAGAATTAATGGCATGATTGAAGGAAAGAATTAATTGCATAATTAATGAAGAGAGATAATTAAAAGAGTTATAAGAAAGAGTTTATGGTGAGTTAATAAGGGGAGATAAAAGTTTTAAAGGCAATTGGCCACTCGAGTTATTTTATTAAATTTAAAAATTAGAAAAATTCAAATTCGAAAAGAACAGAAAACAGAAAAGCGCCAACTTAGCATATTCAATTTTGATATATAGATATAAATATTAATTATTATTCTTGACAGGCTAGTGTTGCTAAAAAAAAGGCTAAATTGAACAAGGGTGCAACTTGGGCGTTTGGGTTGAGTTTTTGTCAAAATTTGAATGAACCGGTCGTCCAAAAACCCTAGATCGAATCAGTGTAAAATTCTAACTCGGGCCATGACATCGTACCAGCTGTTTTTGAGCTCTTTTTTTTTATGTATTATTTTCTTGAAAAGCTATATATTTAATATGATATCATTATCTATAGTTTTTATATTTTAGGGGACTGGTTTTGCTAATTTAATGGTCATTTTGCGACATGAAAACAGTTTTTCATGCTTTAAATATCGAATGATTTGTTGGTGCAAAAGTGCTTTTTCTTTTCAGACAAGCTGAGCTGACCCAGAAAGCATCATTGCCAAACGTTCCAATAAGTGCTTGGAGAACACGGGTTCCATATACTTTTGGGAAGACCACTTTTAACAAAGAAGTTTCCTTGCCTTCATTTAATCATCAAATAAAAGTATAAAACTTTAATTTTTCTTAGAAACTAATACAATAACACCTGGTATAAATTTTGCAGTTCATTCAGTTTTGCATCAATTTGTTTGTGTATGATTAATTTGCACTTATCAAAAATGCAAATTTTGCATCACCTTCCTTTTATCTTGATTCTCTCTCATAAAAGTGGGGGCTACATCATTTTGCTTCTGACTTGCTCCAATCTCAAACAAATAACTTTCACCTTGCCTCCCATCTCTTTTACATAAAGTGGAGACCACATCATTTTATTTTCATACCTATTTTTTTCCCTCTCACAAATAAGACAAAGTCAATTATAAAGTAAATCAGAATTTGTACTCGGTTTATTTGCACTCCCCTGCACTTGCCTAATGCAAATGAAATTCGCACTAGAAACAAATTGAGCCAATTTTTTTTGCAAATACAAGGAATTAAGAGGAGTTACATCTTGTCGTTTTGTGATTTAAGAGACAACCGTGATTGTTTATTGAAACCCACAATTTTTTTTTCTTTATTAGTGCCCTTTGACTTTCAACCATTCAACAATGGAAACTGCTAAGCTAGAGCTATTCACCAAAAAAAAAAAAAAATAAAAAAAAACTCACTTTGTGCCACTCATGTGGGCTTTTTGGTCACTTCACATGTAAAAGGACAAAAACACTTTAATAAAAAAATCATAGTATCTTGTCTTTTCCCTCAGATGTATGTACTGATTATTCTAACTCCAGTGCTGTCACCGGAGTTTCTGTGGTCTTCCCTTAAAAAAAAGCTAGCATTTACATTGGGTTTGTTAATTTAGTTAATTGAATTTGTTTTTGTATCAACCATCTTCAACAGAGGCCCCATGACTATAAACTAAATATTTGAGACTAATAACTAAATGTATTGATGAAACAGCAAGAACCATGTTATGGTTCAGAGCCTAGATGATGCTTACACATTATAATATTACATAAAGCAAAGAAAGAGATCAGATCTCCATTCCCTAGAGTGGACTGGTTCCTAATATACTATCTCTTTCAAAGCCCACCCAACTCTCGTGTCTATCTTAAATAGGCCCATTAATATTTAAACACTTATCTTACTATAAGTCAAAGCATTGCATCAAGAGTTGGAAAGTTTGGTTTGGATTCATGAACTAAACCATTTTTTATTTATTTTTTAATCCTAGAAGGCTTATTTTATTTATTCAATAAAAAGAGGCACAGCTGGTGCCAAGCAACACATAACATGTCAATGAAGATGGGCTTCCCCTTTTTTGGATATGCCCACTTTACATGATTTAGTTGAATCCCTGAACCATCAATTTTCAATTAGCCAGCTCCTCATTTGGCCTACCTTGTCATCACCCATTAGTTGATAATGGCTGATTAGGCCCATAAGATGCCCAAATAAGCCATTGGATGGTTGTACTTGCAGTCAGCCCCCATTGAGCAGCACTCAATGGATGGGCCACTAACTAGGGCCCACAACCAGCACGCACCAAATGATGGTAACAAGTGGAAGTGGTCTTTGTATGATTTCCTTGTTTTAAATTGAATGGCTTGCGACTCTCTTTACACCTTCAGAGCACTACTACTACTTGCACACGGCAACACAACAACAACATCCACTGCCCAAAAGAAGAAACTCAATCAAATGGTTATTATTGATTTCTTCATTTTTCTACTCTGCCATCAATTGATGGATGTGTGCACCATGCACTTATGCACTTATAGTCTGTTTACAACTTTTGCAGTGAGCTTTTCAATATAGCTAAAAGGGTTATCTGAATTAGTCGATTAGCAAAACAACCCTAAAAATTTACAAAATTGGGTAGGGATGGATGGGGGAGACCGGGAGATAATTGTTTTGTAGACTGAGAAGGTGACTTTGCTTAATTTAGTAGCACTTTTTTTGGTTGAAAGCTTTTGATTTAGTTGCATAGAGTCTATAGATAATTAGATATTGGGCTTATCACTGGACTCCATAGATTCTAGGGTGGTTATTTCAGCAAACCCATTATTCAAAAATAGAACCCTAGCTATTTAGTCAAAGAGTGCTTCTCTAAACAAACTAGACCAACCTTGCCTGAAAGGGGCACTAATTAGGGGAAGGGTACATGGCCTCAACAGACACAACCATCTAGGTGGAAGCTAAGGATGCCTCTTATCATTGTTTGTCTCCTTCTATTTCTCCTTTTTAGGCAACGGGTTCATCCACATTCCAAAGCATTCAATTAGTAGGGCTGAATGTAAACTAGGCCTGTCAGTCAGGTCATGGGTTTGGCTCAACACAAACCCCATTTTGAAGACACCCCCAACCTAAACACTTAACACTGAATTCCCATCCGACCCGAATACGACCCAAAAAATTGAACCTGGTGGGGTCAGGTCAAGGAGGGTCTATTATTTGTCCTTACCCATCAACATTTCTAATTGGGTGTTGAACCCTCAAACTTTTAGCAACCAAAGGGCCATTTGTTAATGTCAAGTGGCTGAACTGAATGAGCTTGTGGGTGCTTATTGGATTAATTCATGCTTATTTGAGTGTTTGGTTAAAAATCACTTCTTTTAAATGGGTAATATAGGTATTTTGAAAATTATGCGGTAGGCCAAGACACATCAGCAACCTAACAAGCACTTTTTCAAAAAGTGATTAAAAAAACCAAAATTTTTAGCTTATTCAAAAGGGGTTTATTTCCTGAAAAAAAAACACTTTATTCAGCCATATTTCCCAAAGGCAAATAAGTATATATATGTTTGGTTATGGGGTAAAATAAGTATCTATTCCAAGAAGTACTTAAAAGTAATCACTTCTAAATGGGGTCTTAGTTAATAATCAATTAAGTAGATTGTGAAGACTTTATGGGTTGTTTACTGTATAGCCTAAGTATTTTGTTATGTTACGGGACTATTTCACAAGCAATAAGTTATTCAGTTCGGCTACTTCAGTCATTTCTGACAAAGTTTTTCCACAAAAAGACGTTTCAGTTCAGAACTTCAGATTGGTGATTGGACCAAGTTCTTACGCTGAAAATTGTGGGATGACAGAGATTATGAGGACCTCTGTGTAAAATTTTGCTGAATTTGATAAGGAAGGTGCGTACACTAGATACTGGAAGAATCGGATGGGAAAAGCAAAAGTGGGATGGGTGGGATCACATTTCTGGTAATGACTTCACGTGTAAGCAAAGCAGAGTGGTTGACCCGAGAACTGAGGGGATCTCCGGCTTGGATCACCGGCAGAAGCCCGTGACGTCCGCCGACCGCCACTGGATCCTCCGGCTAAATCTGGTCAAATCTCGTCCGTCCGATTGAAATGGAACTCCATAACGCTTTGACCTATCGGCGTTCCTTTTTTAGTCTGTATTTATTTATTGCTTTTTTAGACCACACCCACCATGTCACCTTCATCAAAGCCCCTCAGACCAGACCAGACCACGACCACGTCGCCCCACTACATTTATTTTAAAGAAAGAAAGCTAGTAAAGTGGAATCGACAAATGTGGGGTACCGGCAGGCAACCTGTGAAGAAGAAAACCAAAATCGTCAAAAGGTCAGCTCATCTGCCCATGTTGCAAATCACTAAGCAGTGTTTAGATGCTGCTAAGCAAAAAGTTACTAAGAAACAGATACTTTCTTTTTAGTTGATGTTGTATTAAATTATTAATGGGTTATGACTACTGTGCTTTGATTTGAAATACCATTCTTCTTCTTCTTGTTCCTCTTTCCTGTCCTGGATTCTGTCCTATTTTGTCAAAATTAAAAGAAAAATCGAAGAAAAAATAAATGGGGTACTATTTTTAATGGAATAGAGGGAGACCCATTTGCAGAAGAAAAAGCTGATTCATTCAGTAAGCGTTGATGTTGGGTTTACAGTCAGCGGTACTTATACTTGCGAGTGATGTGAATGCTGGTGAGGTTTTTGTTTGTGGCTTCTGAGGTGCTTTGGGATGTGGGTGGGAAGAAATTTCTTTCATTTGGATTGCTTCAATCTCTTTTTCTGTTACCGTGTGTAGGACAATATTGCGTTCAATGGGTTTGTCGGTTTGTGGTCTAGGGATTTGATTTGAGGTTGGGATCTCATTCTTTTTGTTTATTTTCAGGTGACTGTTGCTTCATTTGCAAGTGTTTTCAGTTGGGTGTTTTGTGGTTGCTGAGGCGCTCTAGTAAGTGGATTTCAAGTTTCTCCTCTTGGGCTTCTTCTTTCTCTGAGGAGCATTGGATGTAGCATAGTTTCGGAGTGAAGCTTATGGAGTGGCTGTCTTTACTCTGAGGCAGGCTTTCTCTGGTTTCAGTAATGTCGATGTTGGAGTTTGATCCAATGGCTTTCCCGAAATTGATATTCATGGCCTGTTTTGTTTGCTTATCTTTGGGTCTTGGAACACTTAGTCTGACCTGTGATCCAAGCGATCTGCTGATGCTCAAGCTATTTGCGGGGAACCTCAAGAATGGGTCGATTATCTCGGCATGGGCAGATGAATCTATGTGCTGTCAATGGGACGGTGTTGTATGTGGAAATGCTAGTAACGGTTCATCCAGCAGGAGAGTGATTATGTTGATACTGCCAAGCAGAGGTCTGAAAGGGATGATACCAGGATCATTGGGTCATTTAGATCAACTAAAACGACTTGATCTTTCTCATAATCTGCTGGAAGGAGGCATACCCACAGAGCTCTCAAACTTGCACCAGTTGGAGTTGCTTGATCTCAGCTACAACATGCTAACAGGTCCGATCTCAGAAGCATTGGGTGGTCTGAAATCAATCCAGACGATTAATATCTCTAGCAATTCATTTGATGGTAATATGCTTGAACTCGGGGGCTTTCAGTATCTTGCTGTCTTCAATGCAAGCAATAATTCTCTTACTGGTCAGGTTGATAGTAAGATATGCAGTTCTTCTAGTTCCTTTCAGACTCTGGATTTATCAGCAAACCTTTTCTCGGGTAGCCTTTTGGAAGAAGGCTTGAACAATTGCAGTATATATCTCAAACAGTTACATGTCGATTCCAATTCATTCTCAGGTCATCTTCCAGACACACTGTTTTGGTTGTTTTCTTTGGAGCAGCTTTCCATCTCTGACAACAAATTCTCCGGTCAGTTGAGCAAGAGAATAAGTAAGCTTTATAGACTCAAAACCTTACTTATTTTTGGAAATCAATTTTCTGGTCCCCTTCCTGATGTTTTTGGAAACCTTACAGAACTAGAACAGTTTATTGCACATTCTAATAATTTCTCTGGGCCACTGCCTTCCACTCTGTCTCTATGCTCTAAGCTTCGTGTGCTAGACCTCAGGAACAATTCTCTGTCAGGGCATATTGATATTGATTTCGCTAGAATACCCCATTTAAATACACTTGATCTTGCCACCAATCATTTTGTGGGTCATCTTCCCTTTTCCCTGTCCAAATGTCGGGAGTTGAAAACCTTAAGTCTTGCTAAAAATGAACTATCTGGACAGATCCCCAAGAACTTTTCAAACCTCACATCCCTTTCATTTCTTTCCTTGTCGAACAATAGCTTTGATGATTTATCAGGTGCCCTTGGTATACTGCAGCAGTGCAAAAACCTTACCACACTTATCCTTACCAAGAATTTCCATGCAGAAGAGATTCCAAAAAGTGCTTTGGTTTTTGAGAACTTGATGATATTGGCAGTTGGAAACTGTGCCCTTAGAGGCCAAATCCCAATGTGGTTGCTGAGCTGCAGGAAATTACAGGTCCTTGATTTGTCATGGAATCGCTTGAGTGGTGGCATTCCTCCATGGATTGGTCAGATGGAGAGTCTATTTTACTTGGACATCTCAAACAATTCCCTGACTGGAGAAATCCCCAAAAGCTTGACAGAACTTAAGAGCCTAATCTTCACAAACAGTTCTCTACCAGGGCTTACTAGTTCTGTTACCATCCCACTATATGTAAAGCGTAACCAGAGTGCTAATGGTTTGCAATATAACCAAGCCTCAAGTTTCCCTCCATCACTGTACTTGAGCAATAACAAAATTAATGGGACCATATGGCCTGAAATTGGGCGGCTTAAGATGCTCCATGTCTTGGATTTGAGCAGGAACAACATCACCGGGACCATCCCAAGCACCATTTCTGATATGGTGAACTTGGAAGTCTTGGATCTATCATGCAATGATCTTTATGGATCTATTCCTTGGTCATTTAACAAGCTAACTTTCCTATCAAAGTTCAGTGTTGCAAATAATCACTTGCATGGAGAGATTCCAACTGGAGGACAGTTCCTCAGCTTTCCCAGTGCAAGTTTTGAAGGAAATCCAGGATTATGTGGCGAGGTAGGTCCTCACTGTGATCTACTTAATACTAATGATAGGCAGGAGCCTGAAATGCAACATATTAAAAACAATGGAATTGGTCGATCTAGCATCCTTGGAATAACAATTGGCATAGGAGTGGGGATCGCATTGCTTTTGGCCATTGTCCTGCTAAACATGTCAAGGAAGGATCTACGAGATGCAATTGATGATGTGGAGGAGGAAATCAGCAGGCAACACAGGTTGTCAGATGTACTTGTGTCTTCAAAGTTGGTGCTTCTCTTTTATAATTCAGATTGCAAGGAGCTCACCATTGGTGATCTGATGAAATCTACAAATAATTTTGACCAAGAAAATATAATTGGTTGTGGAGGATTTGGCCTAGTTTACAAAGCCAACCTCCCAAATGGAACAAAGGCTGCAATCAAAAGGCTCTCTGGGGACTGTGGACAGATGGAACGTGAGTTTCGTGCCGAAGTTGAAGCCCTCTCTAGAGCTCAACACAAGAACCTGGTCCCTCTACAAGGGTATTGCAGGCATGGGAATGACAGATTATTGATCTATTCTTACATGGAGAATGGAAGCTTGGATTATTGGCTGCATGAGAGGGTTGATGGAGGGTCGGTGCTGGGATGGGATGCTAGGCTTAAGATAGCTCAGGGTGCAGCTAGAGGATTAGCATACTTGCATAAGGTCTGTGAACCAAATATTGTCCACCGGGATGTAAAATCCAGCAATATTCTATTGGATGAAAACTTTGAAGCTCATCTGGCTGATTTTGGTCTGTCAAGGTTACTTCGACCTTATGATACTCATGTAACAACAGATCTGGTTGGGACCTTGGGATACATCCCTCCTGAGTACAGTCAAACACTGACAGCAACATTCAAAGGTGATGTTTACAGCTTTGGGGTTGTTCTTCTAGAGCTTCTTACAGGTAGGAGACCTGTGGATGTTTGCAAAGCGAAGGGCTGCAGAGATCTGGTCTCATGGGTGCTGAAAATGAAATATGAGAAGAAGGAAGAGCAGATCATCGATTCATCAATTTTGGACAAGCTTCAGGAGAAACAGCAACTGGAAGTACTGGGGATTGCATGTAAATGCATAGACCAGGATCCACGGCTCAGACCCTCCATTGATAAAGTTGTTTTGTGGCTTGATGCTATTGGAGCTGATGGTGGCTAGCAGTTCAGTTCATATATATATATGTTTTTTACTCACATACATAGTTCAATTGTCATCAACATTGGCACTGAATCAGACTTTTGGCAGGATGTTCCAAAATGAAGATGTAAAGATAGTAACAAGAAACATATTTGTCTCGCATATGGTTCTGCCATCACAAGTATGCATGGGTGTTGGAGGGAATTGAGATAAGTAAGGTCATAACAAGTAATTTAGTTTCCCATCTTTTCCTGATGTATACTGATAGTATGGTACATATATAGGCACTTTTGGCCCTTCTTCTGGTTGAAATAATAAGAAGTCAATATAGATTTTTTTTTTTGGATAGTGACAGTGTACCATTTTAGCAGTGCACTTTCTGTGACTAGGTCTTCACCAATGACATGTTGTTTTTTAACTTATTTGAAAACATCTATTCAATGATAATATATTGCATTACGTTTCGTGCAGAGGCCACTAGAGTATTGTCTTCCTGTTTAAATACATTATCTTGATTCTGAACCATCCTATGTCACCTGGATATGGCAAGGACATGGCTGGATATGGTATTGGATTCAAAATTTACACTAATTGGAGACTGAACTCCAGGTTTCCAGGTATCATAGCAACCATGTTATGGTTGATATTTGGATACTGAACTCCAGTTTCTTGTAGCCATCTGTTACTGTTTTATCATGCAATTCTCTTCCTGAAGCAACATGTACAGGCTTCCAGGTATAATAGGAACCATGTTATGGTTGATATTTGTTGACTGAACTCCAATTTCGTGTAGTCATCTGTTTCTGTTTTATCATGTAATTCTCTTCCTGAAGCAATGTGTATATGCTACTTGGAATTGGGTTACTGATTGGTCAGTTAAAGGCAGTTTCAGTACCACAAACTGGGGATTACACTTCCAAAATGTGCAAACATTGTTTTTTCTTTCTTTCTTTTTTTCCTTCTTTTTGGATAGTTAAGTTTTCAGTTCATATGTGGAATTGGACATGAATGGTAATGAGAATTGTTAATATGATTGACCTTTAGCTTGTGTTCAGTTTGGCAAAGCCAGGTAGCTCAATGTAAATTTATTGGAGATTTTGAATCTTTACCTGATCTACCACCATGCTTTTGGACTTAGTAATCTATGTCATAATACAAAAAGAGAAGGGCAGGAGGGCCCACTTCACAGCATTTGCATGAACTTCTCTTGCTTCTTGCTCCTCATACATGTCAGTTCTTTTTATTTATTTTTGGGTTAGAAGTGAAGAAAACAGCAAAAACTAGACAAGCCTAGGGGAGGGAGCTCCCTACAGGTCCATCAAACAGAGATACAGAAGATCTGAAGAAGCAATTGAAGACTCATGAATCTCTGAAACGAAACCTATTTTTGCCGCCCAGTCAGCAGGCCTTTTGCCTTCACGGTGAATATGAATGAAATTCACTTCCAAGCCAGTGTTTCGAACTAGCTTTTGGCAATTTGAATCATATTTTTGATGCTCCAAGGAACTTCATACTTGCCATTTAAGCTGTCTATAACTAATATTTGCATCACCCACTATTTGAACTGCTCTTAATAGGATTTCTCCCCTCACCAGTCACCATCTTTTCTTCCTGGATCCCTCTTTCTTTCCCTCTCCCATAGCATCCCTCTTTCTCTCACTTCTCTTTATAAAATGGTCAACCAACTACCATATCTTCCTTCTCTCCAATCAATCAGCCAGCTAAACCATCGTTATCTCAAATGAACTATTCTCCTAAAACAACTCAAATGCCACGACCTTCTCTTTGGTTCATGAAGTGTGGAACTGATAAGATCAGGTATGCATGTTCTCCTTTTCATTTTTTTCTTCCTCTTGTTCTCTGAACTTTGTCTGGATATATTATTTTCCTAGGGTTTTCATCTATTCTGTCTTCTTTCTGTTAAGGACTATTGTAATTAAATGTTTCTGTGTTGTTTTTTCCCCTGCTTTGAACTAGTAAAATCAACAAGATCAGAAATGGCAAATTAATATTTTTTCTAGATTGATTATAGGACTTCAAATTCATTCATTGTTCCTTCTAATTCTATTTCTGGGGTCGACTGGAACTTGGGCCTGCGAAGAGATATCAAGGACACAGAGCTTGATGGTATCTCATCACTGTTATCCATTCTTGAAGGGGTGTTCCTAGAGCCAACACAGGCAGATAGTAGAATTTGGACACTCACCCCCTTTGGATCCTTCACTTGTGCCTCTTTCTTTAGAGCTCTCACACATTCTTCTTCCTCTGGCTTGTCTTTCCCTATTAAAGAGGTGTGGTGTCATCCTATACCTCCTAAGGTTGGGAGTTTTTGTTGGGAAGCCTTTCTGGAAAGAGTTAATACAACAGATTTACTTCAAAGAAAAAGACCCAATAGTTGTTTTTGCCTTCACTGGTGTGTCCTCTGTAAAACTGATGGTGGGTCTAGATATCATTTACTAATCTCCTGTCGGTTCACTAACATCATTTGGTAATGGTGTACTTCTTTGTTTGGGTGCAGGTGGACTCCCCTTCGAATGTGCAAAGCCTATTGCCAATAAAAAGGGCCAAGTTTATGTGGAGGTGTATGAGGGCTGTAGTCTGTTGGACTATTTGGGAGGAGAGAAATTCACGAATATTTATAGATAAGGAGAGAAGTTTGGAAGCAGTATCGGAGGTCATCTATATCAGGGTTATACACTGGCTGAAAACCTTGGCTCTGTTCGYAGAATTCTCAGTTGATGAGYTRCAAAGAAAGTGGAAGGAGATAGCAGAACTTGTTCCAATGAGGAAGGCCTCAAATGTTTGTTGGATCCCCCCACCCCATGACTTTGCTAAACTGAACTTTGATGGAAGCAGCTTGGGCAATCCAGGGCCATCTGGAATAGGGGGAGTA